AAGAACAATGAAAGCAATAAACTGTTTGAGGTACTTATGGTATCTTCAAGCCAAAAGATTTTAACCCAAGACCAAGGTTGTTTATTTGGTGTCTTGAATCATTTGTCTCAATTATTTCGGTAGCCCTCCTGGGTCTTGGTGTTCTAATGTTTCTTCTGTTTCTCACATTACTGTTCAAAGAAGGCAAAATTACTACTGAATGCAAAATCTGCCAACTGCCATTCTATTTTTGCTCTCTCTTTGCTGACATTATTTTCCAATTCACTTCCCTCAACTTATTCTAATTAACCTAGTTCTCATTTGAAGAATTTACCTGGCATGTGTCATATACCCTCTTTATCATTTACTGAAATTCTTTATCTCCCTCACCATCCAAGGAGCCCTGGCTTTGTTTCCCTTAACCAAGTGTTAAGGGCCCAAAAGAAAGTAAAAGCCCACCACTGTATTTACAGTGAAGCTATGGGCAGCACAGCCCTGCCCTCTTTATGTGGCCCTTAGCAGGGGCTTGTGGTCTGTTATTATTATAAATTTATGTCCCTAAAGGTATGAGTGGAAATTTCGCACACTAAAGATGACTACCGAACCTTGTTTCTTTATTTGGGCTCGGCATCAGCCAAAATCCAGGAAGCATATGCTGTGGGGTGTTCCTGTTCACTGGGCCACCCCGGCGAGCTGAGACTACCCCGATACTGTATGGGGAGGTATCGCATGTCAGCGGCACATCTTGCTTGGTGTCGTAGTGAGCCAACACCTGAGACAATGATAGCTGCTTCTTCACTTCCCTAAAGGCTACATTTTGGCTACAAGACCATTTCCAAAGCAGACTCTTTTTCAGTAAACAATTGTAAGGGTGCCACCATAGAGGCCAGTTTATGCATGAATTTCCTGTAATAATTCACCATCACAAGGAAAGACCCAAACAGCTGTAGTGCCTGTTTGAAGTCCAGTTGGGCTTCAGCTATTAGGTGGTTTTGCATGGTCATGTCATTAATCCCACATACCAAACATTCTCTCAGCATCTCACTTAAGGTTAAACCCAAATCACATGTCTCTGCCTCTCCTATTTATATCTGTCATCCAGGATCCCCTGATTGATCCAGATTTACAGCCTCAATCAGGGAACTCATGCTCTATGATGCCCATCTGCCTGAGCTCATACCAATCACTACACTTTCCATCACTTCACTGATGAGTGAAGACTGTGTAGACTGAAGAGGTAATACTTGGCCAGGTTGGATTTGTCCTGCTTTTTGTGCACAGGGCATATCTGCGGCAATTTTCCACATTGTCAGGTAGATGCTAGTGTTGTAAATGTTCTGGAAGAACTTGGCTAAGCGAATAGCAAGTTCTGGAGCACGTTTCAGTACTATTCCCCGAATGTTATCAGAGCCTATAGCCTTTGCTGTATCCAGTACCCCCAAGAGTTTCTTGATGTCATGTGCAGTAAATCAAATTGGCTGAAGACTGGCATCTATGATGCTGTAGAGGATGCTGAGATGGATCATCCATTTGGCATTTCTGGCTGAAGATAGTTGCAAATCTTCTTTTGTGCTATACATTCCAAATCTTCATATGATGATTGTCCTTAAGCAAATATTTGCCCCATAAACATTTATGCTTAGCTCCCTGTGCCCCATACCAGCTTCTCCATTCCTCCATCAGACCCAGTAACACATCCTTTCCAGTTTGGCCAAAATTATTTTTGTCCGGGAAGTTCTCCTTAATACACTTAACAAATTCCTCCTCCTCTGTATTGTTCCTCAAGCATTATCAAGTTTGATGTTTGAGAATTAAAATCCTTCAATGTGATGACTCTACAATTCTCATACATCTGTGATTTAACTGCAATTTTGCTGCTGTCTTTCTCTCATACGCTATGTAAATATCTTCAGTAATGTAATGTACATTGTTTGCTCCTTGAGTCTAACCAAAAGGTGTTTTGTCAATGCCCCTAAAAATGCCACCCCTACCCGCTACAAAAAAGCCTTCCCTAATCAGTATTGTCACTTCACCTTCCTTTTCCCTACTCAATCATTTCTGAACATATTGTGCCAGATTTTCTCACAGGAGATTGGAAACAAGAGGCATGTTCAATGTCAGCTCTCAAAATCTGAAGCAGGAGCAATTTTCCCCAGGGTTGGTTGATGCTATGTTTAGGTGAGAGGCAGGTCTTCTTCCAATTATGTTCCCAGGACAGTAAACAGAGTGGACATGATGGACACATGCTCCATAAGCATTTCTATCTCGAAAGAGCAGAACTGGTGCTTTCAAGCTGTATGGTCAGCCAATCATTGACAGTCATATTTTTTCTTGGTAAATTGCTTCCTGCCTTTTCCCAACCTAGCATGGTTTTACATTCCCAGTGTTTGAGATTTAATGCAATCCTTGTGTGGTGGATGTCAGCATTATCTCTTCCCACATATTTGCCAGCATAAAGTCTACCACCAGTATATCCCTTTCTGAAACTCTCAAGAACACTTCTGCCCTCCTACTGTAGTGTACCTTTGCGGTTAAGGCACGTCACTCACCACATTATAAGATGCCACTGAACTTCAACATGCCTTCTACTCTTATGATTCACCTCAAATTTGCTGTACAATCTGCCCTATCTGTGTCTGAAAGCTGAGATTCCTCAAAGCCTGACACCAGCAACAAATTTTCAGACTATCAGACATCCTCAGCCCTAGTGACATGCTTTTGGATGGATATCTATTGCCCCAGGACAAGTCCAAAGTTGCAGGATTCCCAGGAACCTAAAGGCTTCCTTCCTGCACCACCTGTCAAGGTATGTATTGCTCCTCGTATACTTACAGTTCTATTCTGTGTAGGACATGATACTTGGAACAATCTATTAATTCTTCAAGATCCTGCTTTTTAGCTTCCTCCCCAGCTCCTGAAAATTTGTTTATGTGACCTCAATGCCTACTTTCTCTATATCATAGGTGTTGGTGTATACCACAGCTTCTGGTTCATCCATTTAACCCTGCTGAATATTCTGTACTTTTTCTGTGATATCCTTGACCATGGCACCAGGGAGACAACATGCCATGCTGTATACAAGATGCCACATTCAGACATTCTTGTAATTCCCAGACTATGGAATATTTTAGAGCTATTACTTCTTTTAATTTCTGTTTTCTGTTCTGTATAGTCTTTGTCCATTGGTGCCAATGGCCTGGGCTGTACTTTTTTTGAGATATGTTCATACCCAGCAGCCTCCAAAGCTTTTTCCTGGTTTGAGAGAGAATACACCAAAAATACTCCTTCACCTCCAATTTGTCTAGGTAGCCCTCTATGTTTCATCCCTACTTCCCCGTGTAGGCAGGAATCTCAGAAATTCTCATCCTCCCCATTACTCCATTTGAAGCTCTGAAATCATGAGTTCAAGCATCTGGAGTTCTTATATATATGGGATCCTGAAGATACAGGAAGCTTCCTGAAGTTCCCACATGGTACAGGCATTTCAAGCAACTGGTCTTGCTGCCAATCCCCATTCTAAAATCCTCCATTTGCTCTTTTTGAACCAAGCTAATATCTTTAATAACTATTAATATCAATTAATGCATCTAAAGGAAAAAGACATCAGAATGGAATATTCCAGTGCAATTAAATTACACGGTATTTCAGGAATGCCACTACCCCAGATCCCCTCAATTTCCAGTGGATTCCAAATCTGGGATAAGGTGTTTCTCAGTAAACGTCTGTTCTCCTTTCTTGATTAAAACTTCCAAACAAATGAGCATAAGCAGCCAGCAAGTATTCCACTTAATTACTTTTAATTTAAGTTCCTATTCAACAGAATAGTTTGATTCTCACATTGAATCTAAACACAATGTGTCAACCAAGGAAGATAATTGAAATAATTGGCAGACATAAGGTGCAAGTGTTATAATTCAAACTTGGAATAGAACCTCGCATTTCTTTGCGGCGCATGCATATCTTTTAAGCGTACACATTGTCATAAAAACTTGGGAAGCCTGTAAACTGGCAACTTGATACAAGGCGAATAACAGACCTGAACGACAATCGATTGAAGGAACAATATTAGAATTCCAAATCACATTGAGGCAAACTGCAAACAAAATAAATAATACCATACATTGTTCATTTTTTAACAGCATTCCCTGACATTATCAATGCAATTAAACAATATTGAAGAATAATTTGAAAAGAAACAATCATTTTCACGTACATTCCAGTGCAAAGATTCAAGGTTATTATACATTTAGTCATGAAAGAAGACCAGCTTTACTTTATCCAGCCACCTATATGGCACACTGCTTTAATTCAATCTCTTTCTGAAATATGTTAATATGATCAAAGAAAAATCAAGCCTGGCAGTAAAGACTCTATAATGTAAGAAGGTGTCGTAAACGATTTTTGTTTTGTGAACAATGGATTTCTTTGTCTATAATTCTGTGTTACATAGGACAGCAGCACCACATTATATGACAGTTAAAATCTATAAATTAATAATTGTAACAAACTAGCATTTTATATGTGCAATTGGCTAAAATGGGATAATTCTCCATGGATCAGTCATTACAAGAGTTTTAATTTCACTTTCAAAATTTTATTTTTTTTTAATATAAGGTTTGCCCTGCTTCAGAAAAGTGGAAGTTCTTTTTTTACAAAACCAGAATTTGATCACTTGGCTGGCTTTCCAGGGACTTGAATGGCCACACCTACTGGGTGTACCCACACGGATTCCTTACTGGGTTACACATCTTCTGCCAGTCCAGAGACTGATGTGCCAACAGTGGCCACTGTCTTCAGTCAACCTGGTGAGAATATTAGATCTAGAAATGGGGGAAATTCAACATTTAATCAATAAGAAACTACAAATTGTCCATTGTCCTTGGAGACAGGCACATCCTATCCATTCCACATCTGTAGCATTAATAAAAACTATGAAGTAAATCAGTGATGTGTAAAAGCAGCACCAACATTAAGTGGTATTGTATTTGACTGATTTTGGTTCAACAAATTTAGCTGGTGTATTTAAAGTTTCTTGCTTTTATGAACTTTCTGATGACAACGAAACATATATAAAATGTTGAAAGATGAACTTAAAAAGCGTTTTATGATAACTTTCGTCCTGTGTCAAATATTCTGATGTCCTTGTCATTCGCAGGGAATCAACATCTTCATCAATTCTGTTCATTTTGGGAAAGTTTTTTCAGAAGTTCCTTCACTAAACTATCATCCGGGTTTGAGCAGACCTGCCTTCGTTTTACTGTGAATCTGAAAAAGAACAGAAAAGGTTCACTTCTAGTGTTCACTAAGTATGACAGATGTTCTTAATAATGAGATAGAATGCCACAATTCAGCAAAGAACTCCCTGTTCTGAATACTTACACCACAGCCTTAATTCTGCAGCGACCATTATTTTCCTGAATGCGATATTCCTGAACGTTCTTGATGGCAGGGATTGATTTTGAGTATTTCCGGCAGCAGTTCTTCCGTATTGGAGTTGGACCTGGAAATCAAAATTCAAGGCATATGATTTACTGCTTTAAGGAAAGAACAGGAAAAGTCTCCAGCAACTTAAGCAGGCCAGATTGACTTTGCTTCTCCTGACTGTTTATACTGGCACGTGTTATCTGAAATCTAAAATTGAGTCACTTCCATCAACAGCAGCTAGAGGACCATCAACTCAGTGAAAGATGCTGTTTGGTCAGGCTGAAACTTGCTGGTCTTCCAGTTAACATAAATGTCCACTGCTGAATGTTGCAGACTGATACCTTGCAACACCCAGCACTATATAAGGAGTGTGGTAAAACTTGAGGAAGCTACAGAAAAGGCACAATGTGAAAAGGCCACCATCTGAGGCCTTTCAGCCCTTATATTATTAAAAACTGGAGAATAAGTAAAACTCCTTGAGCTGTGAGTTTGCTATATCATGAATCATTGTAAATGTTAACTGTAATTGTAGCTTTAAAACGTAACATAGAGTATTGGAATAAACATATTTGTTTTGCATCTTATGTAATGTCAATTTTGAATGGTCATGTAATATACTTTTCTAGATTTTAAACATTATACATATTTTTGAGAAAATCATCACATGATTCTACTTAATAAAGATACAAGACTTATTCTGATTAACAATGTTATCACATTGCTCATCATTGATTACAAAGTCTCAACTCAGAGTCATGATGCTGGTGTTGGACTGGGATGGATAAGGTCAGAAATCACAGGACACCAGGTTATAGTCAAACAGGTTTATTTGAAAACACAAGATTTTGGAGCATAGCCCCTTCACCTGACGAAAGGGCTACTCTCCAAAAGTTTGTGTTTTCAAATAAACCTGTTCGACTATAACCTGGAGTCCTGTGATTTCTGACCTAGTCGACTTGGAGTGTATTCAGTTTTTAAAAATTCATTTTAAAAATTAATGTAAGGCTGAATCCAACACTTTGTAATAATTCCACATGCCATTGTAAGGCAGCATTGAACCTTCTGCAATATTCCAATAGAGAACCCTGGTTGTGTGGTTCTTGTGGGTTTTGTTGATTTTATAATCATCGTGCTTCGTAACATACAGTGAAGTATTGTAACCATGCTAACCATCTCTAACCACCAACTACTGCTACTTTAAAACAAAATTATTCTTTCAGTAATACAATACTAGGTTGTACTGTACATATCTCTAACTTCATTCCATCCCAGTGACTGTTTCATACTATTAAACTCAGTAAATATCAAAAATAACATTAAAACTTAGTAAAACATGAAAAATGACCAGGATACATTTTGTAGCTGTTGAGAGAAAAATTTGTTCACTATATTCTTCAAAGGTAATTTATATTAAATTTACTTAAGTAACAGGATTTCATAAAATCAGGCAGTAAATATAACAGGATAATAGAGATGTAATGCTCTCTCACCTGCTAATATAACAGAGGTGACAATACTGAGACAAATCAGCGCCACAAGAACTTGCTTCATTTTCTTGAAACAGATTTCCTCAGGGCAGGCTAGGTTGAAAATTCTAAAATATCTTTGAAATGCAGCTTGTATATATCCTCTCAGATGGTCAGCCCTCTGTCTAAATTCCATGAGGGGAGGTGATGCTGTGGCCGTAGGCTTACCGTGCCCCTGCGGAAACTCTGATAAGGCAATCAGATTTGTGCATCAGCCCCAGTTCCTATTTTTAGCTGTTTCCTTTACATTTCTGTTCACTTGAAATAACTGTTCACAGAAAGCATTGTATTTACGTTCACCACTGAACAACCTTTAGTTTCTACAAATCCCTGGTGACTTCATTTGGTTGATGCCTTCAATTGTTCTCTATTTCATCGCACTCATAAAAAGTTGATTTTTCTTTCTTCACTTGACTGCTTAATTTTCTATAGCTTCACTCATCAATATATCTCATTAACATATCTCTACCCCTCATCTAAACCACAGACCTGCCTGTTAAGAACTACACGGAACAAACGATAAAGCTTCCATACCCATTGCAAAAGTACGACCACTCCGTTCAGAAAATATACTTGGCTCTTCGTCTGAAGGTCAGCTGAACTTTAGCAGTCAGATCTTCACTGCATTTTACATTCTGCTGTGGAAACTTAATTCTCCTCTGGTACCTGTACAGTTAACAAATAATTGTGAGCTGATAATTACAGCAGACCCAAGCTCACTTGGCCTAAAATTTTATATTACCTTTTCATTTTCTTCCGTCCGAAAACTATCACCTCACAATTCTCTGCGTTAAATTTAATCTCTCACATGTTTGCCCATTCCACAAGCAAACCCAGCAGTATCTTCTTGAACTCTTATCACTGTGCTCCCTATTGTTCAGATCCCTTCCAAGTTTTTTGTCATCACAAATTTTAAAATTGTGCTACACATCCAAAGTCATTAATACTTATCAAGAAATGTAGCTGTCAAATAACTGACCCTGGGGCCCACCACTATATCTACCTTCAGTTTCACCCCCATTCTCAGTTCCTGGCGCTGAGCTATATTCCAGTGTTTTACATGTGTTTGTTCCTGGGTTGCTGCTAACACTTAATGTGCCTTATCACACTCCTTGTTGGACCAACGATTATTGCTTGGCTATGGTAATAATAAAGTAAGAGATATTCCAGATTAGAAGGTTAGTGGTGGGTGTTGAATATCATGCTGCTGCTGATGGTCCACGAAGCTTCATAGATGCTCCTTTTTGAGCTGCTGGTCAAATTCAGAATTGTTTCTCTTTGGGCTGTAATAGTGCCATATACATTTTGCATGATGTTCTGTGTGTGAAGTCAGGGCATCATCACCATAATGATAGTGACCCTCTACCAACCTCCTACCAATGCTGACACGGGCACATGTATCTCTAACAGATTGATGAAGACGAAATAGTGCTTTTGAACCTTGTGTCAATTCTGTCACAATCTGGCAGAAGACCAGTTACATCGTTTAGATCCCAGTCACCGTGATCTGTGGTATTGCAGCCAATCCACTCTTGGTGATCATGAACATTGAAGTTCCCCACCCTGAGTATGTTCAGTGACATTGTTACTCTCAGAATTTGTTCCAAGTAGTGTTAGATGTGGAGGAGCACTGATTAAACAGCTCAGGATGGACAGTCAATCAACTGAAAGTCTCCTTGCCAAAGATGCCACGACATTTCATGGGGTCTTGAATCAATGACTCTCGGAGCCATTCCCTTTTATCTGTATACTCCTGTGATACCAAATTTACTGGACATTGGAACAGGATGCATCAGGTTCTAGAGGTGTCAGTGTGTTGGCTGTTGGATACAAATCTGTGAATATGTCTGATGTTTCTGACTCATTATGAGTCAACATTTCCTAACATTGATGTAAGCCTCTAGGTTTTGGAATGAGGGCTTTGCAGGGTCAGTTGGACTGAATCTTAACCCTCAATTGAAACTGTGTGATCATCTGTGTTTTTCTCTAGAATGTTGTAGTGTCCCTGACATCTAACAAGTGCAGTAAAGGAGTAGAGCTGCCTGATTCCAGCAGCTTTAAAGCGTTACTTGCTACCCATGTGTACTGTTTCTGTAAAGTAAAAATATTTACAGTGAAATCAAGGTAGAGACTTACAAATATTCCAAATATTCAAATATTTTGCCCTCAGGCTGTGTGCCAGACATGGAATATATTTTGTAAATATTAAGACCGTTACAATTGAATTGAGTGGAACATATTGTCTTGGGACATGTTAAATTTTCTGCTAAATCCTGTGATAGTTAAGTGGATACGTTTCTGTTTACAAATTTTCTGAATAAAGCATATTTTTGGACAAGAAAAATTCCAAACATCCAGCAGCCATTTCACGTCGGATTTGAATTCAGGTAGTGCTATTCAGGTATCATGTCATGAAGAAAGACCCTTGAGAACAGTTAATAGGCCTTGAAGAATCTAAACTCTAAATAGATTGTTGCTTCTGAGTGTTATTTGGTGTAATGTGCGTACCATCTGCCCAACAGATCTTTGACGTGTAATATATTGGAAAGTACCAGGTTTTAGCCTCAGGATTTATTATGTGGCAGTTGAACAAGCCATAAAGACCTGGAGACAAGATTTTTAACAATTCTTACACAGGATGGGGATGTCATTGATTAGGCCAGTACATACTGCCCATCCCTACTTGCCCTTGCGAAAGCCATGGTGATTTGTAGTCTTGAACTTGACTCCATGGAAGATAGGTTAACCCACAGTGCTGTTAGAAAGGGAGTTCCAGGACTAAGCCATTGAACAATAAAGCTGGTGTTCACAATCTAATTAACTGTTTACGCATTATGCAGCAATCTTTTAATAGTGATATTTTGTATGTTCTCACTATTTTTCGCCACATGGTTTATTTAGCTGTTGGAGCATTGAAGTGACTGACTCTTTTGGTGTTTCCAATGTCAGATTAAGACATCCAGCAGAGGATAACACTGGGTGAAAATATCAAAATAATTTTCATAATATCTTCGTGAAAATGCGAAATTATGAATAGAAATGAACTATAGTGAACTTTGTACAAAAACAGAAGTTGCTGGAAAAGCTCAGCATGTCTGGCAGCATCTGTAAAGAAAAAATTAGAGTTAACGTTTCGGGTCCGGTGACCCTTCCTCAGAAGCTGGCACCTTGCCAACTAGAAATCCCAAATAGCTATAATTTAAAAGCAAGGCACTTTCAGTGTTTGGATAATACATTCTTTTAAAAAATAGAATAATGTTACAGGATCTGCAGAAGTTATTCTTAGGCTTTACATTGAAATTATTAAATCATTGGATCAGTTTTGGTTATTTCACCTGAACAAACATATACTGTCCAGAGCAACCGTGCGTGAAACTGACAGCTTGTGACTCTTTTTTTAAAAAGTGGTCTGGAGGTCACAGAGTCACTTGAGGTGCCATTTTGATCTTCATTTGCAGTGGTTTTACTGTGATACCCTTCTTCATTTGAGCCATTGACTACCTGGCTAATTTCCTTCTCTACTCAACCCCTCCGAAGTTAGAGCAACAACTTGTTTTGTGTTGTGAGTTGTGTAACTTTTCATTAACTAGTATCTTCCATTAACTAGCAGCACCCATTCCCCAATCACCCCTCTTTCCTATTTCCTTTCCTCACTGGGATACTCATTCATGCGTGACTTCACTTCCATAGGAAAAAAATGTTCTGTCACCCAACGCAAATGGTCAAGGTCAGTGAATGCATTTTCAAGCCCCATATCTCCAACAGTAACTACACAACAAATCTCTTCTACTGCTCAGTGCAGTATGCGCTGAACACTCAATTATCAGCCATTCTGAAGAGAAGACACATTTGACTTGAAATGTTAACACACTTCCTCTCTCCGAAGATGTTGTCAGACCTGCTGAGTATTTCCAGTGCTTTCTGATTTTATTTCTACTTCCATTGGTACCAGATGACCTCCAGTACCTCTCCCAACACTCTATTCGTCATGTGTGACCCAATGCATAGGGCTGAATTGAAATTATAATGTTGTGGTGGGCTTGGAAGTACGATTGAGGGGGCCCAGAAAAATAGTGGGATTAGTGGTGGAGCGGTTTCCTAAAGGGAAATGGAACAATTACCTGCTCCATGAACATTGGCAGGCAATTTGTCTTGTCAGGGCTCCAAATGGAAGTGACATCTGTGATACTGCCAGAATTTCACCCCCGGCAGACTCCACACCCTCATCTCACCCCCAGCCCAACAACCACATCCACCCACCACGAGCTAAGCCGCTAGTTCCTACAGAAGGCTAGACCTTGGGCAGACATGCATGGGTGATCAAAGCTCTGTGCTCTGAACAGGAGTCTACAAGAATGCAAGACCATAATTTCGGCCAAGACAGATGGAGCAGAGGGATTTCCTCTTCATGATGAATCACTTGCAGATAGACATTGTGGATTCTTAATGTTTCATGTGCTGACCAGTGAGAAAACTTCCATATTAAAGGTGGCCACACAGTTCCCAACTTGAATTATCAGCACCCGCCTCCTGCAGTGAGCCTGCTGATGTTGTACAGCTGCAGTGCCACCTGATTGAATTGGCACCCATCCATCGCCTGCCTGTTATGACGTCAAGTTTAGAACCAGCCCATGGTGAGGTCACCTCCTGGAAGAAGGTGATGTTTGTCTTGCTGCTGGCAAGTTTATGTTTAGGAGCCCCTTTGAGTCCCAAAATCTTTGGGAAAATTGTCACAGTAGGGTGGCAGTTACGTATCACCCTGGACCCACTACTGTTACTTCAGAAAAAAAGATCACGAGATGTTGGTCGGGGGCAGGAAGCATACCTAATTTATTTTAATACACCCCTCGGCATCCAAACCCAGAGGTACAAAGGCCAATTGCTGCCTCAACCACCACCTCTCCCACACCCCCAAACCAACTTTGACTGAAAGTAGTAACCGAGTACTGACCAAATTGAATGTGGGTATCTCCCTAAGCATGTATGCTTGAGTATCATATCACTCACTAAACTAGTGGGGGAGTTTTGGCTGGAAGTTTTT